TACACATATGCTTTACATTGTTGCAGATCGCAAGGTGTTGCTGTGGCCATGCAGCTTGATGGTGTGACGTGAGAGGCGGCGCTCCTCTTCTTTCCTCAACCGCTCCTCTTCAGCTTTCCTCCGCTTCTCCTCCCGCCGCTGCCGTTCCTTCAGAAGACACACTCTCGAATATCTGTAGACGCGGCCTCTTGGGGGGGCGAAATAGTGGTTTTGCGGCAACTCACACAAGGCTTGCCTCCTCCCTCCTCATGCGGTCTTGCTCCCAGATCCTCGGTCACAGGGTGTCATGGAACTGTTGGGAGGGTCTGTAGGGCATTTGCAGGTTTGCACAGACTTCTACATGATCATAGGGCAGCTCATTAGAAATTGATCACAAGCCTCCTTTTTTCTTCTCGCTTCTGACGCTCTAGCTCCTTCTCTCGCTGCTCCTGGCAACAAACAGTCGACAGGCCCCATGCGAACAGCACGGACTGCGTCAAACCTAAGTTATATGTATATAATGTTATACGATAGTACATTACACTGCTATATATAACAGTTCATCCAGTTCATCGTCTACCTTCTTACTGTATATACTCTTTGTACAAGCCCTGAACCGGAACAGCATCTCCTGGCCTTCTCCCTCCTCTCTGCCGCCGCTTTGGCCTCGGGTCGCAGGGCCAGGGGGAAAGGAAGAATGCTCGTTTTTAGGGTTTAGGGTTTAGGGTTTAGGGAAGCAGTGGCGCCCTGTTTGGGACAAACCCATATGCAACACTAAACTCACGGCTAGGGCCATCGTCTTGAGATCCGAAACCCTCAACCCCTTGCATAAGTTTAGGGCCTTTCTGGTTGCACGAAGAACTCGCTAGAATCGCTACATTTGTTGTGAAGTCTTGCCGGGAAGTCGCTCTCCTGCGCTCTGGGGGGCAGGGGGAGACCAAAAGTCCAAAAGGCAATTTGCAAAAAAAACTTACGGGGGCTCGGGTCCTCTGCAGCCTCCTACTTCCTCCTGCCTCTCTCCCCTCCGTTGCAACCCCTCTTGAGCTCCAAGAGGCCCCTAGACGAGCCCTAAAGACCCTGAACCACGGTTTGCATGCAACCCTAAACCCTAAACCCTAAGCCCTAAACCCTTAGCCCTAAAACCTAGACCCTAAAAATCCTTGGACTGCGGTACATACATATTTCAAGACAAGAGCGACTAGTTTTTGAAATCTCCTCGAAGTCTTCGAAGCCAAGCTAGGCCTCCAGCACGTCCCGCTCTCCAAACCCTAAATCCTAAACCCTAAACCCTAAACCCCAAACCCTAAACCCTAAACCCTAAACCTTAACCCTTAACCCTGCCCGGCCTTTTGTCTAAGCTCTTCCTGGTACGCAGCAGCCGCGGCCTTCTTGGCCTCCGCTCAAGCCGGTCTCAGGAGCGGGTTTAGGGTTTAGGGTTTAGGGTTTAGGGTTTAGGGTTTAGGGTTTAGGGTTTAGGGTTTAGGGTTTAGGGTTTAGGGTTTAGGGTTTAGGGTTTAGGGGTTAGGGGTTAGGGGTTAGGGGTTAGGGGTTAGGGGTTAGGGCTTAGGGTCCAGCATTCCCGTTGGTTCATGGATGTTCATGGTGAAGGTTTAGGGTTGGGATGTACGTTGAGGGTTTTCACTCTGCCTGGTGGTTTCGGGCTCAGGGGAATTTAGTGGGTTAGGTTCAGGGCTATGGCAATGGTTCGTGCTGGGTGGGGGTGTACCATTAGAGGGGGGGGGACGCACACAGGGTTCAGGGTTCCATCCATCCCACAGTTTGTGATGGCTCTGCCTCCTCTTCGTCGGCCCTCTTCTTTTGCTCAGCCTGTCAGATTTGGGGCACCCATTTTGGGGGTCCTTGCAAGGGGGATTATGCTTGATTGGGGTATGTAAGGTGTATCCCCCTAAGCCTATTGAGGAAATACCCACACAGAAAGAACGCGGAGAGCACAATGAAGGCTGTCTGGCTGAACAAAGTGGCCTCTTCTTCTTTGCGACGCAGCTCTTCCTGTTCACGCTCGTCCTCCTTGCAGCACATCAGGGTTTGGGGGGTTGTGTTAAAGTGGACAAACCCTAAACCCTAAACCCTAAACCCTAAACCTATGCATACTTGCATGTGCTGCAACACGGGCGAACACACTCCCACTTGCAAAAGCGCACGGCCTCGAAGCGTGCCGCAACCTGCGTGCGCGGCGTTCTACGCAGCACGCCAGACATGCCGTAGATCATGGGGGTTTTAGGGTTTAGGGTTTAGGGTTTAGGGTTTAGGGTGGCACTCTGTGGGGCTTCCTACTACCATACGGAGCATGCTCCAAAAGAGACTGAGAACTGCCCAGACGGTTCAGTGACGTTTTGCTTCATTGTTGGGTCCTGGGTAGTTATAAGTAGGCCGACAAGTACCCGAAAATAGGGTATAAGCAGCTACAAGCATGGTTCCCCTACAAAACCAAACCCACGTATATCTACCCATGAACCTTCAAGTAGTCTGAGCCCCAAACCCCAAACCCCAAACCCTAAACCCCAAACCCCAAACCCCAACCCCAAACCCTAAACCCCAAACCCTAAACCCCAAACCCCAAACCCGAGACCCTAAACCCTAACGGGCACCTTCTTTGCGGCATGCTTGCGCTTGGGCTTCGGCTCCTTCGGCGGCTCCTTCCCAGCACTGCAAGAGGAAGGGGCACGGGGGAGCCGGCCAAAAAGCGCACGGATCCGTTCTGAGGGGGCAGGGATCAGCTTGCAGGGTTTAGGGTTTAGGGTCTGGGGCTTAGGGTTTAGGGTGTTTAGGGTTTAGGGTTTAGGGTCTAGGGTCTAGGGTCTAGGGTTTAGAGTTTAGGGTTTAGGGTTTAGGGTTTTGGGTTTAGGGTTGAGGGTTTAGGGTTTTAGGGCCCAGCACCCCACACGTCATACGCCGAGAACACTATACAGGGGCTCGCGGAATGAACGAGATCTTTGGACCCAAACAGGTCGATGATTTGGATCCCACATCACCCCCCCCCCCCCCCCCCCCCCCCCCCCCATCGTTATCGTTGCTTTGTGACTCCTCCTCTTCTTCGGCCTCATCTTCGTCATTGTCATCCTGCACCGAGGTTTCAACAACGACTCCGGAGCTCAGTCATAATACTTTATTGGTGCTGAGGGTGAGCGGACAAGTGGATGCCTCATCCACCGCCATAGCTAGAAAGCTAGTACGACGTATTCACGGAGGAGGTGGAGGGGCTGCATCGCTTTCGAGGGCTCCTCCTGCGGAGCCTCGTCCCTGGATTCTTTCCCGTGCTTCTCCAACTTCTCTCTTTCGCGACGAGCTTCCTCGCGCTTCTTCCGAACGTCAGCACGGTACCTGACCATGGAGCTGAACCAACTTGAAGCAGAAAGATGTACACTGAGAGCCCAATACCCCGCAAGTATTGAGTACAACTTGTCAACCAGATGCTTGGCATGCATGTGGGCAACCCTAAACCCTAAAACCTAAACCCTAAACCCTAAACCCTAAACCCTAAACCCTAACAGTCAGGTGGCAGTTTTCGTGCTTCTTTCTCCTCCCTGCGTTTTCGAGCCTCCTGGCAAGATGTGGGGCGCAAGGCCAGCCCATCTTGCGGGAACTTGATCACCAATTTGAAGCACGCGATCGGCAGAACCCCAAACCCTAAACCCTAAACCCTAAACCCTAAACCCTAAACCCTAAACCCTAAACCCTAAACCCTAAACCCTAAACCCTAAACCCCAAGCATGATCAACTCTCGGAGCATTGCCATGGACGGGATCCCCGTCCTCCTCCTTTCGTTGCACAGCTGCACTCGTGACTTTGCAGTTCAGCACACACTCCTGCAAGCTGTCGTTTCAAGCTTAAAGGTTTAGGGTTTAGGGTTTAGGGTTTAGGGTTTAGGGTTTAGGGTTTAGGGTTTAGGGTTTAGGGCTAGGCCCTCAAGGGGGTTCATGGGGGGTAGGCACGTAGCTTAAGCAGCTACCCCAACACACGCTAGTTTTAGGGTTCCCTGGCGGGCCCTCAAGCCTACACCTTAGACCCTCAACCCTAAACTGCAAGAACCAAGGCTGCAAGAGGCCTGCGACCGCTAACTTGCTTATGATCCGTCTCGGAGAACCTCACCCCTAAACTCAAGAACCCTAAAAGTCTAGGGATTTAAAAAAACATAAGCTTACCGGAACCTCGCGCCCTACAATAACTCAGACAACCTTTGCCCCAAAAACGCCAGCGACCTTGCGCGGCTTGGGCTCTGGGGTTTGTTTCGGGTCTAGGGTTTAGGGTTTAAGGTTTAGGGTTTAGGGTTTGGGGTTTAGGGTTTAGGGTTTGGGGTTTGGGGTTTGAGGTTTAGGGTTTAGGGTTTAGGGTTTAGGGTTTAGGGTTTAGGGTTTAGGGTTTAGGGTTTAGGGTTTAGGGTTTAGGGTTTAGGGTTTAGGGTTTAGGGTTTAGGGTTTAGGGTTTAGGGTTTAGGGTTTAGGGTTTAGGGTTTATTGTTTAGGGTTTAGGGTTTAGGGTTTAGGGTTTAGGGTTTAGGGTTTAGGGTTTAGGGTTTAGGGTTTAGGGTTTAGGGTTTAGGGTTTAGGGCCGATATCCAAACAAGGGCACCCAGCACCCATCTTTGACAAGAAGGAACCCTATTGACACTCAGTAATACCAGCACCACAAAGACCCTAAACCCTAAACCCCAAACCTTAAAACCCCAAACCCTAAAACTCAAAACCCTAAACCCTAATTAAACCCTAAACCCCTAACCCTAAACCCTAAACCCTAAACCCTAAACCACTTCACATTGAGCAGCGTCCTCTACAACATCTCCGTCTCCGACTCTCGCGCCATGGAGCTCCTTCACGGCTCGTGACATTTCCTCCGGCTCCTGGCCGGCACGTGCTTCATGAGGGGGGTTTAGGGTTTAGGGTTTAGGGTTTAGGGTTTAGGGTTCAGGGTTCAGGGTTTAGGGTTTAGGGTTTAGGGATGAAGAGCAAGTTGCCCCAAAAATTAGCACCAGAACAGTTCGAAGTCCTTGAGCACGAGTCTGGCTACCCGTCCATACCTTCCGCCGGCAAAGGAGCTTGCAACGTGCTCGAAGCACGGGAAGGGCTGCCCAAAACCCTAAACCCTAAACCCTACACTGTCACCGGGCCTCGAGTCTGGCACGTATGTTAATCTTTCGACACCGCCGAAGGCGAGGAAGGTGGCGCGCAACTGAGCCTGGGCAGCATTGCCACAAATCGCGCGGAAGCCCGCTTCTCTATCTACAACCGGCAAGCTGGCACCTCACTCCAGCTTGTGGGGAAGCCCTCCACAAGCAAGTAGGTCTCCTTTCTGAATTCGATGATTGGGAGTTGCACAAAGAGGAGCAAAGATCCTACAAGTACGTTAAGGAGCTCGCATTCGCCTGGGCCTCTGGCCAACAGAAATTCCGTCTTCTTCCCCCTGCCCAACCTTTCCCAACCCCCCCCCCCCCCCTCCCCAGCCCTCTAGAAGCTGCAAAATGCGCTTGGGGGAGGACCTGGCACTCACTGGAATCTTCACCAAGCTTCACTTGGCAGAGTGCACCGGAGCACCCGCAATGCAAGCCTTTTTTCAATCTGGGCATTCAGGGGTCCTCCAACAAGCCCGTACGTTAGTCGGCTGCTTTCCGGCGCTTTTTTCCTCGACCCATGGTCGCTTTCCATGTCCGCAGCCGAACCGTGCGAACTGGAAACTCCGAGGTGTGCCACTTGGACTGCCGGCGCGCACATGCCGGGGCTTGGGCCGGCCCGGCTGCCAAGGCGGCGCGCGCCAGCGTTGCCATGATGGGATACCGTCATTGCTAGGGTTTGCTCATGGCAAATACTTGTCCTGGGCTGTGCGCTCGTTGGACACCTGCTCCTCACCGACAACCTGACCGGAGGATTGGCAGCTTCAGCGTTTGCCATCAGATACGGCGCTCAGGGGCGTGTCCCAACATCCTGTCAGCTTTCTGTCGAAACACAAGAATTGCGGCAGCGCCTTGGCGACGATCTGCGCCCAGAACTTCTCCTCCTGAACATGTCAAGGCTAGGACACTTTAAATCTTTATGCTAAGAGTGCCTTGCAACCCAACTGCACCGCGGTGAGAACGGGGAAATGCAGCACCGACAGGGAAAGAAGCTATTCGCAACTCGGCCCTTCAACGCTACCTTGTCGGGCGCCAAGTCCTAAGACAATCTTCTAAGTCATCATGGTGCCTTGTTGGATGCCCTACATGTTGCACGGCTAAACCCTAAACCCTAAACCCTGAACCCTAAACCCTAAACCCTAAACCCTCAACCCTAAACCCTAAACCCTAAACCGAGAACTGGGCACTTCTCGGCCCCTCTCCTCGGCTGGCGGTCGGTCGCCGGCTTCTCTCTTCTGCTTGGCCTCATTCGAGCTCAGTGCCACATGGGGTGGCTCTGGGGTTTGGGGTTTGGCGTTTGGGGTTTAGGGCTTTAGGATTCAGGGTTTAGGGTTTGGAGCTTGGGGTCTAGGGTTCAGGGTTTAGGGTTTAGGGTTTCCGAGATTCGGGGTACCTTCTTGGGGTCCTTATGATAAGGGGAATCCTGCTATTTGGGGTCCATATTCGGGGTACCTGATTCTCGTAAAGCCCCACACGGGGGGTTGGGGTTAAGGGATTAGTTGCACCATAAACCCTAAACCCTAAACCCTAAGCCCTAAACCCTTTTTCGCTTTTGATGGGAATGTACTCAGGCAAGATGGGGCTGAAGATCTGACCAACACGGATGATGCATGACCAAGTACTAGATTGAGGGTTTAGGGTTTAGGGCTTAGGGCTTAGGGTTTGGGGTTTAGGGTTTTCAGTCGAGAAAAACCTGCTGCGTTGGGCTCAGGGTGTGCCTGCAACCCCGAACCCTAAACCCCACTAAGCCCTAAACCCCTGAACCTTAAACCCTAAACCCTACACCCTAAACCCTAAACCCTAAACCCTAAACCCTACACCCAAAACCCCTTCGATTCTCCAAACGGGGCTCTCGACCCTGAGACCCCTAGACCCAGTGCCCTCCAGGTTCGAAGGGCATTTGAGAGGATCCTCGTGGCTTAGTGTAGGAAACTCCAAAAGCAACAGGGTTCAGGGTTCAGAGTTTAGGGTTTAGGGTTTGGGGTTTGGGGTTTGGGGTTTGGGGTCCGGGGTTTGGGGCTTCGGGTTTCGGGTTTCGGGTTTGGGGTTTACAAAAGTAGGAAGGATCCCTACATGGACCCAAAGCCGGGTGCCACGCGGTTCGCATGTCTACCCCATGCAGCGCCTCGAGCAGCATTCCGTGGAGTTTGTCAGATCCGGTGTTCAAGAGTTGGGGATGTTCCCTCTTATAGTAACAGTCCTTAATTAGGGATTATAGTAACCCCCCATTATAATCCGTATTAAGGAGCTGCTAGTATAAGGGGGAACATCCCAAGTTTAGGGTTTCAAGTTTAAAGTTTGGGGTGACACACACATACCACTAGCAAAGTGGATCTAGATAAAGCACTGATGCCCCCGGGCCTTGACAGCCTTTTCTGCCATCGCAGCTTCAGCGAAGGTTGCCTGGTTCAAGGTTACATGGTTGCCGTCCCCCAAAGAATGGTCAAATGACGTAGATCTACTTTTGGACCTCACAGGTTTTTGGCATCAAGCTCCCCATTGCACAGAACGTCTACGAATCTTGAAGGCAAGTGGCGGTCACGGTAGTCGCAGTACCTGGAGATGCGATGACCTGAAGGCACGTCGTAAGCCTAAGCCCTGAAAAGAAGAAACATATAAACAAAGGACTGCCACCGCTCGCACCTGTAGCCTCGAAAGAATGCCAAAGGTTCCCAGCAGCTTCCTCAAATCAAATCGCTGCATGCAGAATCCAAGAAGACATGGCCTAACTGAACCCTGAACCCTAAAACCCTTAGACCCCAAGCCCCACACCCAAAAGCCGAAACCCTACACCCAAAACCCTAAGAACTTAGGGGAAATGGTGGGTGCCCTAAACCCTAAACCCTAAACCCTAAACCCTAAACCCTAAACCCTAAACCCTAAACCCTAAACCCTAAACCCTAAACCCTAAACCCTAAACCCTAAACCCTACAGAGGGGTGTCCGGAGCTTCGAGTCGATGTCTCCGCCCTTGCTGTCCATCCAGGACTTGGGGAAGTTGCGCATGATCAGCCTCGGGCTCAGGGGGTTTAGGGTTTAGGGGGTTTAGGGTTTAGGGGGTTTAGGGTTTAGGGGGATTAGGGTTTAGGGTTTAGGGTTTAGGGTTTAGGGTTTAGGGTTTAGGGTTTAGGGTTTAGGGTTTAGGGTTTAGGGTTTAGGGTTTAGGGTTTAGGGTTTAGGGTTTAGGGTTCAGCATCTCAAGTCCGAGCATTCACTAGTCAAGCAGCTTGTCAAGCGTTGGAAAAAAACCCACCCACCCAAGAAACCCATAACATTGAGAAAATACAAAGTTCACTCAATACATTCCCAGTAGTTTTTAACGGACCCACAAAATCCAATCTAAGGCCCACAATAGGCCCTTTATGCTCTTAGGGCCCTAAACCCTACGGTTTAGAAGCCCCTATCGGTGAAGGCTCGGTTTTGGTCAAAAATCCAGAAAACGAGAGGTCACCCAGAACCGTCGATATCAGTACTAAAAAATCGTATTTTTAATAGGGACTCAGGGTGTTTTTGGAGGCAAACTTTCCCTCTCAAGGGGGGGTCGGAGTTTGAGGCAGGTGGGGGTCTCCGAAGACTATTTTGCCTTTAAAATTGAAAAATACGACCCCCCCCTGACCAAAACTAGGCTGTGAAAAGGTCGCGGGGGCGGCCCTTCATCAGAATTGAGGGTTAAAACCCTGAAACATCCTTAAAAACATTGAAAAACCTTGAAAAACATTGAAAAACGCTCAAAAACCTTGAAAAACCTTGAAAAAACTCGGGGAAAAGGAAAATCACCATTGCCCACTTTTGAAGCCCAAAAGTCACCGTTGCCCACTTTTGAGGCCAGGAAAGTCACCGTTGCCCACTTTTGAGGCCAGGAAAGTCACCGTTGCCCACTTTTTGAGGCCAAAAAAGTCACCGTTGCCCACTTTTGAGGCCCGGAAAATCACCGTTGCCCACTTTTGAGGCCAGGAAAGTCACCGTTGCCCACTTTTGAGGCCAGGAAAGTCACCGTTGCCCACTTTTGAGGTCAGGAAAGTCACCGTTGCCCACTTTTGAGACCAAAAAAGTCACCGTTGCCCACTTTTGGGGCCGAAAATCACCGTTGCCCACTTTTGAATGATAGGGTTTAAATTCAGGGGGGGGTCTCTGGGGCTCCAGGGGCTCAGGGGGGGACAGGGGGGGGGGTTTAGGGGGGTTTAGGGTTTAGGGTTTAGGGTTTAGGGTTTAGGGTTTAGGGTTTAGGGTTTAGGGTTTAGGGTTTAGGGTTTAGGGTTTAGGGTTTAGGGTTTAGGGTTTAGGGTTTAGGGTTTAGGGTTTGGGGTTTAGGGTTTAGGGTTTCGGGTTGAGGGTTGAGGGTTGAGGGTTTAGGGTTTAGGGTTTAGGGTTTAGGGTTTAGGGTTTAGGGTTTAGGGTTTAGGGTTTAGGGGCTCTACTCGTTAGAAGGCTTTTTTAGGGCACACAGCAACTCTTCCGGCCAGGAGGCGACGCGGACTCCATGCCCTCCGGGACGGCGCCGTTGAAGCTGGACATGACCTTCAGCCTTGCTCGGAGCTCTACTCCCCTCAGAACCTTAAAAAAAGTAATATTCTTAATATCCTCAGAACCTTAATAAGAGTAATACTCTTAGTATTCCTTAGAATCTTGATAAAAAATAATATTCTGAATATCCTTAGTTAATAAAAGTAATATTCTTAATTATAAACAAGAATTAAGAAAAATAATTCCCAAGGGGTATATAGGGAGTCTCTTCTGTCAGGCTACTTGGAGGTTCATGGGTCGTTTTCAGCAGGGTCATAGCCAGTCATGAAACTACGTTACCCGACTTACAACCCCACTTATAGCTACCCATGAACCTTCAAGTAAAGCTACCTGCCAAAAGAGAATTCGGCATCCCGCCTGCTGGCGGATCAAGACGCCATGTGCAGTGAAACTGGATGATATGGCTCGGACATTCAGGGTTTAGGGTTTAGGGTTCAGGTCAAGGGTTTAGGGTAACCCTAAGCATGCAGCAGGCTGCCTCAATCTAAGCTGGTCCGTGTGAAGAAGACCAGGCATGTGCAGCGAAATCCTGTCGACAACGGCTATGCACGTCTTGCCACACTCAACTTCAGGTCGTAGCTTTATGATCTTTGCATCAACCTCGATACCTAAACCTACTGGAGCACGGCGTTGTCAAGCAATCAGGAAGGGACAAATGCTAGCTGGCGCAGGCGGATTGACTTGCATCCCTCAACTCGAGTGTTCTTGCCCGTGACAAGCCTTTTTCGGAATAAGTCGCAAAAGCAAAGGCATCCTGGAGGCAAAACAGCTGGCAGCTTGTACAAGTGAATTCGGGGCCAGGCCACAGCCTGCAGGACACGGGTAGCCCACAAGGCATCTGACTTTGCCAGACGCCTGTGGCAACCGCTACCACACCCAGGCTCCAGACAAAAGTCCGCAAAAGCTAACATCAAGTTGTCGGTGGGGCCTGGAAACCCTAAACCCGAAACCCTAAACCCTAAACCCTAAGGTACCAAGGACCCCACCACTTCTGTGCCCCTAGTATGACTTTTGTCTCCTCATGGGTCCCTCGACCTCATCTCGGTATCCTGGATTCGATCCGAAGCGCGCTCCTGAATCCCAGGTCCCCATCTGGGCTTCAGGTTTAGGGTTTAGGGTTTAGGGTTTAGGGTTTAGGGTTTAGGGTTTAGGGTTTAGGGTTTAGGGTTTAGGGTTTAGGGTTTAGGGTTTAGGGTTTAGGGTTTAGGGGGGTACAGGGGGGGGTCTCTGGGGCTCCAGGGCTTAATTTTGGAGGAGGCTTCGGGGGGTTTAGGGGGGTTTAGGGTTTAGGGTTTAGGGTTTAGGGTTTAGGGTTTAGGGTTTAGGGTTCAGGGTTCAGGGTTCAGGGTTCAGGGTTCAGGGTTTAGGCACGGTTTAGGGTTTAGGGTTTAGGTTTTCCCAAACACATTCTTGGAGCATTCTCGGGTTCGGACTCCGGTCATCCGACACCTCGCCACGCACAAGTCTTCGCACCCAGTTTAGCTGACTGCAAACTCGAATCACTATTTGCTTAAGAACCCCCCCCCCAAAAAAAAAAATATAATGAGATAAAATAAACAACAACAATAATACTACTAGTAATAGTAACAATAAATTACAATTATAAGAATAAGAAGAATAATGCCTATATTACCCTTACAAGGAAGAATACTTCTATTTTTGAGGGGTGCTTAAGCAATTCGTAGAAATCTCGGAGGGTGTAAGCACCAGACCAGGATACGCCAATCAATTGATGCGTCCACATTGGAGAAGGCAATCTTCATCACCTGCCGCAAGTGTTTGGTTGCAACCCCCCCCCCCCCCCCCCCCTCCCCAGCAGCTAATTACCCTAAACCCTAAACCCTAAACCCTAAACCCCAAACCCTAAACCCCAAACCCCCAACCCAATGAGGACTATCTAGCGGCAGTCTCGGGTCAAACAAGGGCTCTGCAGCTGCCGACAGCTGCAGGGCTTCCTGTGGTTGCGGTTTTTCAACCGCCCACGACACTATGAGACCCTTAGAACCTTAATAGAATAATATTGGGGTTTAGGGTTTAGGGTTTAGGGTTTAGGGTTTAGGGTTTAGGGTTTAGGGTTTAGGGTTTAGGGTTTAGGGTTTAGGGTTTAGGGTTTAATATCCTCTTGGGTTTTATATAAACAAAATTAAACAATAATTCTCAAGGGGGATATAGCCACATGCTGGCCTTTCGCATCCACTCATCGTGCTCGGTCGATGCATTGAGCGACGGCAACTCCTCGAAGATGCCGCGCCTCTGCAGCAAAGGAGGTTCAGGTGATCGCTTTCGGGGCGGATGGGTTTGAGGGTTTCGGGTTTAGGGTTCAGGGTTTAGGGTTTATTGTCTAGGGTTAGGGTGATGCGCACCGCACCTTCTGCATTCCGCATAAGGGTCCACGGCAGCCGAAGGCAGCGCCACTGGCACCACCTCGCCAAGGGCACTACAGTGACTACAGGGAAGGAAGCCTCCGCGAATGCGGGTTCCCGTGGCCTCCTGGCGATCCTTGTTTGTCGGCGTACTGCGCAAGAGACAGGATCAAAGCTATTGCTGCCAGACGCCGAGTCTCGACTGAACGCAAGTGTCCGAGGCTCACTGGAGGACATCAGAAGCAACTTTTGTTAGCTTCACACTAGGCTCCCAGGTCCAGCACTAACTTCCATAAAACCCCAAACCCTAAACCCTGAAGCCTAAACCCTAAACCCTAAACCCCCCCGCTCTTCTTCTCTTGGCAGCTCCGGACTCAGCGCCTGTGAGATCGCGGCCTTGTCGGGGCCTCCTTTCCAGAGCAGTCCTGAGAAAGGGGCGCCAGCTACTGTATTCTTATTATTATTTTTGTTATCATTTTTATTATTATTCCTATTATTCTTTTTGTTATTAATACTATCAAAAATGTTCATATTAGTAGTATGTCTTTTCAATATTACTGTTCTAATTCTTGTTCTTCTTAGTTGCCACCTGAGGCTCTGCAAGCTGCCCCCCTGCCCAAAGCCTTCAACTTTTTGAACGCTATTTGACATTTAATAATATGAATAATATTGATAATATTCACAATATCAAGAATATTAATAATTTTGATAGTAATATTAATAATATTAATAATATTAATAATATTAATATTATAAATAATATTAATAATATTAATAATATTAATAATATTAATAATATTAATAATATTAATAATATTAATAATATTTATAATATTAATAATATTTATAATATTAATAATATGATTAATATTAATAATATGATTAATATTAATAATATTAATAATATGAATAATATTAATAATATTGATAATATTAATAACATTGATAATATTAATCATATTAATAAGAGTCTCCTCGATTTTGGTGACGGATCCGCTCAGGACCCTCGTGATGCCCAGCTCATCGAGCAGCTCGGGTGTGACCTCCAAATCGCGCACTGCACCCCGCAGCACTTCCATCCACACCCACCCACACACACACACCCGCGGTGTAGGGTTTAGGGTTTAGGGTTTAGGGTTTAAGGTTTAGGGTTCAGTGTTCAGGGTTTAGGGTTTAGGGTTTAGGGTTCAGGGTTCAGGGTTCAGGGTTCAGGGTTCAGGGTTTGGCCTCCCAGGGAGCCTGCTCCAGGATGGTGGCGGCCTTACCAGCACAAGTACAGCCGCAGTTGAACTCCACTCTGGGGAAGTAAATCCCCTCCCCCGAATATTAAGCCCCCTAAACCCTAAACCCTAAACCCTAAACCCTAAACCATACACCCTAAACCCTAAACCCTAAACCCTAAACCCTAAACCCTAAACCCTAAACCCTAAACCCTAAACCCTAAACCCTAAACCCTAAACCCTCCCCCCTATTCGGGGAGGGAAGTAGATTGAGAGATCAGCCCCCGAGGCCCCGGCCCAGGGCTTTCGTCTGAGACGGCCGACTCTGGCAGCGTAGCACTCTGGTGGCCTCCCATGGCTTGGAGGATCTGGTCACTACAATAACATGATCTTGCAACAGATATTTTGGTACTCTATATGGGTGTTTGTCCCTTTTGGGGTACCCTAAATATTAGGTGCCGTGTTTTTTAGGGACCCAAACAGAGAAAGGCCAAGGGGCCAGGAGCCGACAGCGACTTGATGGCACTCGTCGCCTTCCGCCGGGCAGCACGTCGTGGCATGGGTACTTGTAAGTAGTGTTCTTCAAGTAGAGAAACGATGGCTAAATCCGTAAGGCCCCGGCTGTGCACTCCAACGATAAGGTGGTCAGCTATCTGGTGGGCTTCGCGAAGAATGTGGGCCTCCATTTCGCCCCCGGACACCGTGCTTGGAGGTTCATGGGTAGTAGGGTTATAAGTACCCTGAGGTTATAGCCAGTTATAGTTACATTTACCCTACTTGTGACCCCACGTATGCCAGTACCCATGAACCTTCAAGTACGCAAAGGCTCTGAGCACAGGCCTGCGCATCATGCAGGAAGCACCATGAACCGTCGACATAGACAACGGTGGCGCCTTGTCTGGTCGTCTTATGGTGCACAGATAAGGCACCTAAACCCTACACCCCGTAAATCCCCCTAAACCCTAACCCCAAAAAAAACCCAAAACCCTAAACCCTCAATGCTTGTCATGTGGCCTCGCGCGGAGGCCTCCCACGGCATTTCCAGACTGCAGCAGGCGGTCACCTCGGCAAAGTCTGCTGTGCTTTGCACCTCGTGTAGAACGTCTTGGAGCGCTACAGGGCTCAGGATTTAGGGTTTAGGGCCCTAAACCCTAAACCCTAAACCCTAAACCCTAAACCCTAAACCCTAAACCCTAAACCCTAAACCCTAAACCCTAAACCCTAAACCCTAAACCCTAAACCCTAAACCCTAAACCCTAAACGGATGAGGTAGGGAAGGACAAGATCTGATACGATCTGGAGCGCAAAACGAGCCGTAAGCCGGTCTGGGCACCCAACAGAGCTGCGGAAGCCTCGAGCATGCGGCGCAAGGGGGGGGGTGGGGGGGTTAGGTAGGGTTTAGGGTTTAGGGTTTAGGGTTTAGGGTTTAGGGTTTAGGGTTTAGGGTTTAGGGTTTAGGGTTTAGGGTTTAGGGTTTAGGGTTTAGGGTTAGGTTTAGGGTTTAGGGTTTAGGGTTTAGGGTTTAGGGTTTAGGGTTTAGGGTTTAGGGTTTAGGGTTTAGGGTTTAGGTTAGGGTTTAGGGTTTAGGGTTTAGGGTTTTAGGGTTTAGGGTGGTTTAGGGTTTAGGTTTAGGGTTTAGGGTTTAGGGTTTAGGGTTTAGGGTTTAGGGTTTAGGTTTAGGGTTTAGGGTTTAGGGTTTAGGGTTTAGGGTTTAGGGTTTAGGGTTTAGGGTTTAGGGTTTAGGGTTTAGGGTTTAGGGTTTAGGGTTTAGGGTTTAGGGTTTAGGGTTTAGGGTTTAGGGTTTAGGGTTTAGGGTTTAGGGTGGGTTTATGGTTTAGGGTTTAGGGTTGGTTTAGGGTTTAGGGTTTAGGCTTTAGGCTTTAGGCTTTGGGCTTTGGGCTTTGGGCTTTAGGCTTTAGGCTTTAGGCTTTAGGCTTTAGGCTTTAGGCTTTAGGGGTCCGCCAATTCGGGGTGCCCATTTTTGGGTGGCGCCTACGAGAAGGATTTTGTATGTTGGAGGAAAATGAAGGGGTGCCCTATTTTGGGAAATGCACATAGGAGGAGCGGGGGGGCTTCTTGGTTTTGGGGCTTCATGATTTTGGGGCGCTGCTTCCCAGGCGCATGCAAACCCCTAAACCCTAAACCACCCTACACCCTAAACCCTAACCCAAAACCCTAAACCCTAGACACGAACCCTGAGCATCGCGGTCCTTCAAGCTCTTTCTGCGCTGAGAGTCGCCGACGATCCCGGAATTGATCCCACCTGTGAGGCCCCTATTGTTGTTTAGGGTTTAGGGTTTAGGGTTTGGGGTTTGGGGTTTAGGGTTTAGGGTTTAGGGGGCTCAGGGTTGGGAATCAGGGAGTAGCTACCCTACCCTATACAATTCCTTAAAGGGGTAGATAGGGGGTTAGGTTTGAAGCACCTGCTTCCCCGAATGTCCCTTGTAAGCACTAGAAAGCTACGAAGGAATGACACTTTCAGGGTTTTGGGGTGTAGAGGAATCCAAGCCGAAAGCCTCATCAGCGCGAGAGAGACCTTCTGCTTCAGCGCCTGTGAGCAAAGGTACCAAGATGTATGCTAGTGAGCAATACATCCAAGTACCAAGTTTCCGAGACCCTAAACCCTAAACCCTAAACCCCAAACCTTTTGTCCAACATCTGGCAACCCCGTAATGCCGCGCAATGAGCCATCATCAGTGAGTTGAAGAGGACCGTCTTGTAGCTCATGATCCAGACCTTGGAGGCCCACGCGGCCCACGCAAAAGCGCGCGGCGGTCGAGCTTGCTCATGGAGATATAAAACGTATGCACATATACATATCATCTACATCTACGTCTACATCTACATCGACATATACATATACATATATATATATATATACATACACATATACACAGATACACATATATACATATATACATATATACATATATACATATATACATATATACATATATACATATATACATATATACATATATATATATATATATATATATTGTGTGTGTGTATGTAGGAGTTGAGGCCTCGACGCCTTGATAAAGACCAAGCCATCCACTTTTCCGCACGATCTCGGCCTCGGCGATGGCGGCTCCCCTACTCCGCAAGGCCGATCCCGCAATGCCAGCGCATGTTTAGAGGTTGCTCAGGCTTAGGGTTTAGGGTTTAGGGTTTAGGGTTTAGGGTTGAGGGTTGAGGGTTGAGGGTTGAGGGTTGAGGGTTGAGGGTTTAGGGTTTAGGGTTTAGGGCTGAGGGTTTAAGAGGTTTAGGGGGTTTAGGGGTTTAAACTATGAGGTGGCGGCGAGCATGCCCCACAAGCCCAGGTGGTTGCCGCCAGTTGTCTGAATGACGGCCTCTGGCAGCTTTGGTTGCCAGGGGTGCTGACACCTACTCGGAGGTTCATGGGCAGTTCTAAGTAGGGCTATTTGTACCCTACATGAGGCCATAACCAGATATAGTGAGAGCTACCCAAACCTCTATAACCCCAAGCAGAGCTACCCAAGTAGGGGACCGAGGCCACGGTGCAAACACACGAGGGGCAACGGTGGCCTTTGCGCGAATCAGGGGGTAGGTCAGGAGCGTGGCGACAGCTTTCGACACCCCCGAGATCCAAAACCTGGCGCTGAGCAGGGCTACACTCCCCAGACTAAAACTTAGGGGTTTAGGGTTTAGGGTTTAGGGTTCAGGGTTCAGGGTTCAATACTCAGGGTTTCTGGGTTAAGCCTTTCCCCGCGGTGACGGCCGGTCCCTGCAACGGAAAAATGAGCCGGCCCGGCATGTCTGCGGAGGTCAAGTGAGAGTTGGAGGCCCTGTCCCGCACCGCCTGGTGTGCTTCTCAGCAGGTTCAGGGCTTTTGGGGTTTGGGGTTTGGAGTTTAGGGTTTAGGAGGGTAGGGTTCAAGGCTTTTGGGGCCAGCGTTTCTCCCTTCAAGACAAGGAAGGCCTTGATGAGATCGGAAAGCTTGCCGACCTCAAGTAGTTCTCTGATATGCAGATCCTGTAATCCGGCACCCCTCTAGTACTTGGAGGTTCATGGGTACTTATCATTTATAAGTCGACTGCTAACCTAGTTAGAGGACATAGGGGGCCTTATAAGTAGAGTTATAATTGGGGCTACGAGTACCTATGAACGTCCAAGTAAGGATCTCCCTGAGGGAGACTCTGATTTCGAGAACTGCCCAAGAGAGCTCCAATCTCTGATCTCTGGGGCCGTGGGCCAACGTGAACATCAGGGCAGGGTTCAGCGAGAGCAGCAATGCCACCGGGAGCCTGCAGAAAGCCACCCTAAACCCTAAACCCTAAACCCTAAACCCTAAACCCTAAACCCTGAACCCTTAAACCCTAAACCCTAAACCCTAAACCCCCCTCTCTCCCCCGCAACCACGCATGCCACCCTCGCCATAGCTCCGCGGCTCCTCCGGTACCTGGCACACGCGCCGTTATGCACTCACCAAGAACAGCAACATAAGCCCTATTTGGGGTTTAGGGTTTAGGGTTTAGGGCTTAGGGCTTAGGGTTTAGGGTGCATGGGTTGGGTTTTGGGCCTAGGATCAGGTACAGGACGCAATGGGACGCAAGTGGGCGCACGGGCCATGCGGAGGAACGTGCTGAAGAAGCCTTTGGATGCGGGATCGGCCTCCGCAAATCAGCGCAGACTTGCATCCACACAAGTACACGAGCACACGTGGGGGTTTCCGAAATTAGGGGGTACCTTATTGGGGTCCTCAGCATGGAGGGAATCCTACTATTTGGGGTGTTTCTTATGGGTCCATTATTTCGTAAAACCCCCACATGGGAAAAAGATCTGGGTCTCCCCAACGCGGCCTGATTCACGTTGGCAACGACATCAAAAGGTGTCGTCAAGATTCGATTGAACCTGTCCAGCGCTGGCCCTGTTGCCCGACACCCTAACCACCGGGAAGCCCAAACCCGCCAAACACTCGCAAGTCATCATGGGGGGATCTAGATCCTAAAAAGTAGCTGCCCCTATTAAGGGCTCGCCCTAAACCCTACTTGGAGGTTCATGGTACTTATTAACCAATTATAACTGTACTTATAACTGTACTTATAACCATATTAGGGGCACTTAAGGGGCTTATAAGTGGGCTATAAGTACAGTTATGAATGGCGAATAAGTACCATGAACCTCCAAGTAAACCCTAAACCCCGAACCCTAAATAAACCTGAACCCTAAACCCTAAACCGCATCCGTACCACTGTTCGGGTGTGGGCAAGAAGGCCAAGCAAGCAACTGCTGCGCGAGCATGTTGACGACCAGGGCGGCAATGGTCCCCAGCCTTTGCAGGCGCAGGGGTTTGGGGGTTTTGGGCTTGTTTAGGTTTAGGGTTGAGAGTTTTGGGTTCAGGGTTGAGGGCATGGAGCTCTCTAATCCCTAAACCCTAAGCCCTAAACCCTAAACTCTAAACACTAAACCCTAAACCCTAAACCCTAAACCCTAAACCCGCACCGCCTCAGCTCAGGCCCACACTTTTCGCAGGACGGCTCATGGACCCGAAGCTGACGCAGGCTGAGTTGCACGAAGACCGTCTGCCAAACGAAGAAGCCAACCTCAACGGGAGTTTAGGGTTTGGGGTTTAGGGTTTGGAGTTTAGGGTTTGAGGTTTAGGGTTTGGAGTTAGGGTTTGGGGTTTTAGGGTAGGGTTTAGAAGTGTGGGGGGGTTTCGGGTGTTCGGGTTCAGGGGTTAGGGCCCAGGGAGAATTTAGGGTTGCTGGCGCTGCAGGCATCAGGGAATCTTGAATGAGTCCCGCACATTGGAGGTGATGGTCTGAATCAACCGCCTGTGGCGAATCTGCATTCGGGAGACCTTTGGTAACTCCAAGGACGGTACACTGGACTGGAGCCCCCCCCCTCTCTCCCCACCAAAAAGAGGATCCTGAACGCTACGTGAACTCGCCTAAACCGGGATAGTCAGTCGACTTCTAGATCCTTGTAGGGGTCCCCGGGTCACAGCCCGCCCCCACCCACCCACCCGGCGCGCACCCGAGCAAGCCCTTGTAGAGGCCGCCCAGACCCTGCTGTTGAAGCAAACGCTTCCTGAGGCGGGGCCGCAGGCTGCACTCAGCCACAACAGAGCTCAGGGTCTACTTGGAGGTTCATGGGTAGGTATAAGTGTAGGGTTGCAAGCATAGGTACTACCCATGAACCTTCAAGCAGGGTTTAGGTGTAAGCGAGCTGGGCCCTGGGCGCAACCAAGGCAGCCTTAGCGAAAATCGCACAACATGTGCTCGAAGACTCCAAGGATTCTTGAGGGCGGGTGCCACAATCTAGTTGTAATAGTAACGATTGCAATATTTTGGGGTATATGAGGGGACCCCTGTGCATAATCAAGAAGGGATTGAATCTGAAGCATGGGTCCCCAGGGCTCTTTGCTATGGTCGAGTATAGATAAAGTATAGTATAATATAGTATAGTATTGTATTGTATCGTGTAGTATAACATCGCATCGTCCTTAATTAAAGATCACAAAGGCCCGTGACACTGATGACTACAGCTTCCCTACCTGGAATCCTCGCCGCCCCCATGCAGCCTTCACGCTAGCTGGATAAGCCCCGCGCGGATCCTCCATACACTTGCTGCTGAAGCTTGATGGTATCAATCCTGATCTGCACCAGCACTTTGCAAAGCTCTCACTTCTCCCTCCTGCAAGCCTAAACCCTAAACCCTAAACCCTCAACCCTCAACCCTAAACCCTAAACCCTAACCCTAAACCCTAAGCATCTGTTGGCCCGGACGGGAAGAGAATGGCTTCAGCCCCAACCGAGCCTCAAGTGCAGCATTTCACATCATGACCTCTCACACCTTGCAGACCCTGCCGAGGCTTCCGCTGACAAGTCCGGAACGGACCTTTGAAGCTCATATAGAATATCGTATAGTACAGCACAATAAACACATGAGATCATAAGATACAGTATCATGACATAACATCGTACACAACACAAACGCAACAGAGTGACCTATCATACCATGTAGATTCATCCAGTGTAGCATCATATAGTATGACAGATCAGAATGCGATGCACCAGAGCATACTCACGTGGATCTGGCTCCGCAAGCACGCCGAAAGCCGTCTCCTTGGGTTCCGGCCTCTTGCCAAACCTTCTCAGTATGGTATTCACAGTCACGTGCATCACGCAATGGAGGTTTCCCAAAACAGGGGCGCCCCTATATATATATATATATTATCTATATATCCCCCCAAAAGACTACAGTGACTGTATGCCTGACTATAGGGACACCCCTAAAGAGTACCCCCATGCTTTGGGAGACCCCCCCAGATTGCTTGAAAGCTGCGCCGGGCCTTCTCCCACACGGACCCGGATGCCATGGCAGAGTCTAATTAAAGGGCTTCTGAACCTTAAACCCTAAACCCTAAACCCTAAACTCTAAACCCTAAACCTTTGTTAGTGCACGCGAATCCTCAGGAGCACCACAGTACGTCCATTGAGCTGAGGCTGGTAGTCTAGGGCAGTTTTTTGGTTCATTGTTCAGTGTCCGATGTGTCAATGATATCGCCTGCTTGCAGCAGAACCAGCATGCCACAGAACCTGCACTGCAGCACCTGCATAAGGCCATCCCTTTGCGCACCACTGGAACATGAGCTCTCCATCTAACTGCAAAAATGGCCACTTGGCCGGCCGCCTTGTCATTCATGAACACCATTAGTGTCAAGCCGCTACTCTTTTGCCACTCCGGATTTCCGCGCACCAACTCACGATATGAGCCTCTGGTGCTGGCGCGGCTTGGCACTGCCATCTCCAGGTCACGCAGATTCGCCATCGCCGACTATGCTCTGAAAGAAAAGTATAAAAGCTCTGCATAAGTCAAACTGAAGTTGTCGAATCGCGTCATTCTTTGTGAGCCGTGCCATGTTTGCTTCAAGTCTCGCTTGGAGGACTGCCCGGCTTTCATCCGAAAAGCTCGGGACAAGCTGTAAGCATCACAAGTTCCGAACCACGCCACTCAACCAGCCATGTACTCACGTCTTCAGACAGCAGCAAGTACCACAGAGTGTCAAGACTATCCGGATTCCCGCACCATGAAGCATGTTGCATGTTGAGCGATGTACTCACGGAGATCTTGAAACCAACACAACTGCGAAAGACATCGAAAGCTTGCAGACTCTCCTTTTCCCTGAGCCCAGCTCGCCTTCTCTGAATTCTCGGCTTCAAGCTCAGACTTCGGAATCTTAAGCTGCCGTTTCCACAGCCCCAAAGGCCAAATATTTTGGGGGCACCCCCAAGAAAAGAAGGGTTTAGGGTTTAGGGTTCAGGGCTTAGGGTTCAGGGCTGTGACGATAGCAGCACCCGCTCCTTCTTCCCCTAGCCTAATCACCCACCCGTCACAGGTCTGGCTGATGCAGACTTTGGCCCAGCAGCCTGTGTCCTCAAGGAGGCACGGATCGCATGTGACGAATGTATTGTTATGTTTATGTATATCCTGAACAATAGTTGCAAATTATAGTTGAAACTATTTTCTGATTCGTGTAACTATACAAAGATGCTATACAAAATCCGCCGAGGCCTCGGGCCGAAGGTGTATAGGTTGTGAGAACAGGCACCCCCCTCCAAATCCTCCCCCCGCACCCAAAACCCCTTTTTTTGCCTCAAATGGGTACCCCCCCCTGGGAAACCGGGGTCCGCAAGCGCACAGTTCGCCAGGAATAGAGGCAGTTGAAGCCCGTCCCAGCAGGGCCCCCCCGCCCTCCCACGCCCCCCCCAACCCCACGTCAGGCTCAAAGCCAAAGCCCCCTCCCCCCCTCCCCCCCCCCTTCTCCCTCCGGGCCTGGCTCAACTTTACGATCAACCGTCTCAACCCTCAACCTTCAACCTTGAACCTTGAACCTTGAACCCTAAACCCAAAAAAACCCTAAACCGCAAACCAAGAACCTTGAGCAAGCCCTCAACCCTAAACTAACCCTCAACCCTAAACCCCAAACCATAAACCACAAACCCGGAACCCTAAACCCTAGACCCAACCCTTATTGCTTGGGGTCCAGCGACTTGGGCGCTGCGGAATCACCATGCTCACGTGGATGCGCTGGGCCGAGCCGAGGCGGGTCGCGTAGCGTTAAAATTACACTCTACTATATTCTACCTGGTGCACACAGCTCACTGTTTCCAGTTTCCAGCCAGCAAAACCAGTTCTGGTACTAAAATGGGCATATGTCCTGGGGTTGACGTGTGCGGCGACAGATAAATTCGCGACCTCACGGTGATCTGAGGAAGAGAGCCACCCACACTCCAGGCTCTGGAGCTCAAGATGTCTGGGTCGTCTGCATGGCTTGCCGGACCTGAAACCACAAAGACCCTAAACCCTAAACCCTAAACCCCTCTGCTCATCTCTGCGTGGCAGTTACGTGTGGCAAGAGACAGAGCAGCCTGCTCCTCGATGTCCTCCGTGCGCCGCCTTGCGGTGCTTTCCTGGCATGCGCGACTTTCTCAGCACTTGGTTAGGGTTCAGGGTTTAGGGTTTAGGGTTTAGGGTTTAGGGTTTAGGGTTTGGGGTTTGGGGTTTAGGGTTTAGGGTTTAGGGTTCAGGGTTCAGGGTTTAGGGTTTAGGGTTTCGGGTTTCGGGTTTCGGGTTTCGGGTTTCGGCTTTGGGGTGTGGGGTTTCGGGTAAACCCTAAACCCTAAGCTCCATTTCCTACCAGGCGCCCCAGGACCCTAGACCCTAAACAAACAGACTCCAAGCAGGCCGACTCCGCTATCTCGATCTTTGCACGGTGGGCCTGAGCCAAAGCAATGGAATAGCGAACGATGGCTAGCGGAGTGCTGCCAGACATGCCATCGTGGTACACATGTTCGGGAGTTGATGCAAGGTGTCCTAAATGCCCCAACAAGCCCTAACCCCAAACCCTAAACCCTAAACCCTACACATCCGCGCCTTCTCCAGCAAAGCTCGTTGGGATTCCCTGACCGCCACCGTGTGCAATTCATGCCGCTGACGGGACACTCTTGGTATTTGTACTCGTTTAGCTGCACTATCTGATGACCAGCATTGCTATTCACAAGTCTGACTGCTTCTACAGTGCTATACTCGCCGGACGAGAGGCGTCTAGAACAAGCCCGAACCGCTTGGAGGAGCCGCAATGCGATGACGCAAGGGATTTCGGACCTTTTCTGACCCCCTCGACCTAGACGTTCTTGGGACCTCCCACCCCCCCCCCCCCCCCCCCCCCGCCCCGCCACTCCGGTACTCCCCTGTCTAAACCTCCACAAGCTCCCCACATCGGACCAAACTCCGAGGCGGCGCGCGCAGGCGCTCACAACTATGACGACGATTCTTGCGACCACCATGTTCATCATTTTTGTGATGATTATTGAGCTGTCTCAAGAGAACAGCAGGATTGACGTTTACCTCCACATCTCTTCTGCAGCATGGAGGGCTTCTTGGTGAACTTTCGCCTGGCGATTCTCAAGCTACCCTAGACCCTAAACCCTAAACCCTCAATCCTCAACCCTAAACCCTAAACACTGCTCAACCCTCATGCCTAGACCCTATAAACCCTAAACCGCAAGCGTGCGGTGTCTGACCTTCTGCTGCTCCATGTGGACACTGATGGCTGTGGCAGCTGCATGTCCAAGTCGTGCCTTCCTCAGAGTGTTCTCGATCTGCTTTGGGGTTTGAAGGTTCAGGTTTAGGGTTTTCAGGGTGCTAGGGTTTGAAGGTTTAGGGCTTTAGGACTTTAGGGTTTTCAGGGTTTAGGGTTTTAGGGTTTAGGGGTTAGGGTTTAAGGGCTTAAGGGTTTTAGGGTTTTAGGGTTTTAGGGTTTTAGGGTTTTAGGATTTTAGGGTTTTAGGGTTTTAGGGCTTTAGGGCCTTAGGGTTTTAGGGTTTTAGGGTTTTAGGGGTTTGGGGCTTGGGCTGAGGGGCTGAGGAGGCGGCTCTGCATCGGCCTCGTGCCCAATCGCATGGGCCTGGCCATGCTGTTTCGGGTTCAGGGTTTCCCCCAAAAATCCTCAAGCCCTGAACCCCAAACACCCTAAACCCTAAACCCTAAACCCCAAACCCTAAACCCTAAACCCCTAAACCTCCTCCCCCCCCTCTGCCTGAAGGTCCTCCTGGCGCTGCAGCTGCGCCTCGGCTGCAGCACAGCATGGCCCTCAACGGATCTGGCCCCCAAGAGGTTTAGGGTTTAGGGTTTAGGGTTTAGGGTTTAGGGTTTAGGGTTTAGGGTTTGGGGTTCGGGGTTCGGGGTTTGGGGTTTAGCAGGGGGTTCAGGGCTTCATGGGCTTAAAGGGTTTTGTGGGCTTAGTGGGCTTAGTGTGGTTTCATGGGCTTAATGGGCTTGACGGGTTTAATGGGCTTAATGGGCTTGATGGGCTTTAGTGAGTTTAGGGTGGGAGGCTGGGGCACCGGCATGACGTTCCTTTGCCTGTGTTGCCACCTCTTTCTCTGCCAGCTGGACATGATTCTCAGCCTGGCCAGCTTAGGGCTTTGACTTTGGGGTCTCGACTTTAGGCTTTAAATTCGCTAGCAATCAAACATCAAATTTCAGAAAGCTGCCAATTGTTGGCCTGCTTGAGGATGCTTCCCCTCTCTTCCTGGTACCTGCGCTCTGCCGTAACATCACGCAACGCTGAAGGTCCCACGCGCTTCGCGCACTTGAGGTCGACTTGACCCAGCCGCTTCACCACGCTGGCATCAAGCTCCTGGCGGATCAAACATGCTTCAACCAATCAGTAAAGGCGGCAAAATCTGATGCCATTCTTTCGGTGGTCCTTCTTCTTCCTCTCTGCCTCGGCTAGGATGTACTGGTGGTCGCGGACCTGCAGATGTCAGAACTGCTTCTCCACCGTACGTGGCCACACGTGACTACTGCAGCCTGAGGTTCATGACTTGCCACAGCACCACTGAGTCCTGCTAGCGAAGCAGAATCCAAAACCCTAAACCCTAAACCCTCATCCCTAAACCCTAATCCCTAACTCACTGCTTCATTCAGGCCGTCCTGGCTGCAGTGTCGGCCAAGCTTGGGGCAGCCCATATCCTAACCACTCGACTACCCCGATATCAGAGCTCCAGCAATCCCAAAGGCTCCAATATCCCTTAATTAAGGAATGTATACCTTAATGAAGGAATATATACCTTAACTAAGGAATATATCCCTTTATTCAGGAATATGTACCTTAATTAAGGAATAGAAACGTTAATTAAGGAATATATCTGTATACCTTAAGTCAGGGATCCTACTATGATTTAAGGTATGTTCCTTCATTAAGGATATTGGAGTCTCTGGGTAAGGCTCCTAAGGCATGCAAGCCCCAGCAGCTGGATTTTCACCTGGTGGTCGAAGCGGTGGACAAGACATGCCTGCAAGTGCATGGTTTTCACGTCTCCTTGACCCTAAACCCTAAACCCTAAACCCCAAACCCTAAACCCCAAACCCTAAACCCTAAACCCTAAACCAGCAGTTCTCACTCGCCGTGTGGCCTGCCCAGCTCGAGGCGAGACTTCATGGACAGCTCATTACCTGGCCTGATTTCTCTCTAACCCTACACCCTAAACCCCAAACCCTAAACCCTAAACCCTGACTCTGCGAGGAAAGGCTGAAAGTCAAGTCTACATCCCGCACCCGAAACCATCCGAGCTTTGGAAACTTTAAGAGCAACAACCGTTCAGATGTGGATCCTGGTTATTTATGCTTGAGCCGAGAAAACATTGACCAGCGCAGTCCACAGTGGCTGCCACAAATCGCGGAGCTCGCGTGCAACACAGGCTATAGCTCATTTGATCCAAACAACCGCCACACCTTTTTTGGAGCGTGCTCCCCAGCCACATCATGAACAGATGCGGGTAGTTCTCTCAAATAGGATCCCTTCTTAGGCCCTTCTTGATAGATATCCTACTGTAGAGGAAGGCAAGCAGGGAACCCTAAACCTGAACCCCTAAACCCCAAACCCCAAACCCGAATGTAGAGGCTGGGTGGCCACAAAGGGGCCCAGATTTCGAGAACTACCCCTGCCGCGATCTTCGGGGCTGCACTGCACGGCTTCTTGAGCCGTCAGGGCATCGTCATGTCCTCGTCAATCGAGCCCAGGCCTGCAGCGTGGCGTGCTTTTGACCAGCGGGGCTGAATTTTGAGAACTGAACATATGGGGGTTTGCGACAATAGCGGACCCTAAAATAGACCCCCAAATATTTAGAATAAGGACCCCAATAAGGTACCGTAAACCCCCGTATAGGTAAAGAACTGCCCCAATGGACGGCGAAGATCCGAGAAGGGCACGGACCAGCTGCTGAACACCCACACCAGCAGGTCCACCTTAGCTCAAAGCAGGATTTAGGGTTTAGGGTTTAGGGCTTACGGTTGAGGGTGCGGAGAAGCAAAGAACAAAGCATAGCACAGCCAACGCTTCCATCCGAAATGTGAGTGGCCCACGTCGGTGGATGGCGCCGCGTCAGCCGCTGCTACCTTTAAGCACCACATTCAGTCGGGGATTTCCGAAATTGGGGGGGTACCATCTTGGGGTCCTTACTATAAGGGAACCGAAAATTTGGGGACTATATTAGGGGTCCGTTATTTGCGTAAGCCCCCAGTTGCTCGATCCGGTTGCTGAAAGTGCTAGCAGCATTGCTCCAAGCTGCTGCCTTTTTTAAGATGCCCTCTGGCAGAGACGATGCGGTTTGACAGCCATAAGCTTGAGGAGGAGTCTATTGACGAAATAGACACAGGCGCGCTCGAACGCCTCCTTCGCGCACGAGAGTGGCATGGGGCCGTGACCTCTGCACAGCTTTCGGTGCATCTTTCAGAGGCGCCACGGGTCCCCCTTCTTCACTCCCGGAAAAATCTCCAAAACTTCGAAGGGATCGAAGATCTACGCGGCTTTTGCGTAGTCGGGACCTTGGCAACGAGCAAGGTCACGAAGGCAAGCCTACTTCCAGGGGCGCGCAACGAGGTATGATTATTCTTGGGCAGGAAGCCGCTAAAGGCTCCGGAAGGCACGTTGGAAGTTAGGGTTTAGGGTTTAGGGTTGAGGGTTTAGGGAACATGGCCTGATTCACCAATGTAGCAGAGTGCACGTGAAGACAATGCGAACCACGCAGACGCAATGTCCGGAATTTAACTGACCCTGCTGCATACCAACTGAACAGCGACCACATGTTCTTGACAAATTCAGATTCTCACCCAGTATCGACTTCGCAGCATCACAGAATATGCTGTTGGACATGCAGACCCCTTCGAAGATGCCGGCCGATGTGCAAAAGACACGTCTTCTGAGGCCGCAGCTCTTGAACCAGGACACGGCATGTAGGCGCGTGCCCTCAAATGGACACCGGCCATGCATGACCAGGTAGTTGTCCAACAGCACCATGTCGCCCGGCCTTACTGGCACATCAACCCTAAACAGTTACTTGGAGCTTCGTGGTACTTATTCACCCATTCTCACTGTACTTATAACGGTACTTATCCGCCGACCCCGCCTTTGGGGTCGAGCGCCCGGGAAGCCCCTTACACCGGAGGTAGGCCTGACGACCCCCCCCCCCCACCCTCCCCTTCCCCCCCGACCAGGGACCCCCCCTCCCGGCCCCCAAAAGCTCAAAAACACTTTTTTTGTCGTTTTCAGAACCCACAAAAACGCTCCGTGCGTGCTTGCCCTGCCTACCCCCTACTCCTCACTCCCCCCTGCCCCCCTGACCCCCTCCCCTTCCGCCCCCCGACCAGGGACCCCCCTCCCGGCCCCCAACTCAAAAACTTTTTTTGTCTCCTTCAAAACTAGTCCTGACGAACCCCCCTACCCTCCCCTTCCCCCCCCTTCCCGGCCCAAAAGCTCCTTCCGTCCCCCGACCAGGGGCCCCCCCCCCCCCCCCCCCCGACCTGACCGACCCCCCCCCTCCGGCCCCAAAAAACTCAAAAACACTTTTTTTGTCAGGTTCAGAACCGACGATTTGACACCCCCAACCCACAAAAACGCTCCGTGCGTGCTTGCCCTGCCCAGCCCGAAGTCCATCACCCAAACCGAAGCCCTTGACCCCCAACCCCCCCCTTTCCCCTGATTTTTCGACCTGACGACCCCACCCACCCCCCGTGCGTGCTTCCTCCCGGCCCAAAAACTCAAAAACACTTTTTTTGTCGGTTTCGATTTGTCACCGCCAACCCACAAAAATGCTCCGTGCGTGCTTGCCCTGCCCCTACCCCCTACTCCTCCCAAGCCCGAAGTCCATCACCCAACCCCCCTCTCCCCCCCTTTCTGCCCCCACCCCCGCTCCCCCCCCCCTGACGACCCCACCCCCACCCCCTCCCCTTCCACACTCCCCTGACCAGGGATTTTGCTGACCCCTCACCCACCGACCTGCCCCCACCCCTTTCATCGCGTATTAGCAGGTTACATAGATGGGAGGTAAATCCTGACGATCCACCCCCCCCTTACCCTGCCCCTACCGCCTACTCCCCCCAAGCCCGAACCACCCTCCGCACCCCCCGACCTGACGACCCCCCCAACCCCTCCCCTTCCTGACCCCCCCCCTGACGACCCCACTTCCGCACCCCCTGACCAGGATTTTGCTGACCCCTCGTTTCCCTAGCAAGAACCTTTCTACATGCGAGTTAGATCTTGACGATCCACCCGACGACCCCACTTCCCCCCCGACCAACCCACCCGACCTGTCAACCCCCACCCCCACCCCCTCCCCTTCCGCCCCCCGACCAGGGACCCCCCCCTCCCTCCCACCAAAAAACTCAAAAACACTTTTTTTGTCTGTTCTGAGACGATTTGACACCCCCAACGGGGAGGGGGGGGGTCCCTGGTCGGGAGGGGAGGGTGGGGGGGGGTTGTCACCTCGCGTGTAAGGACGCACAGAGCGTTTTTGTGGGTTGGCGGTCACAAATTGACGGTTCTGAACCCGGCAAAAAAAGTGTTTTTGAGTTGGGGGTCGGGAGGGGGGTCCCTGGTCGGGGGGCGGAAGGGGAGGGGGTGAGGGTGGGCGTCAGGCCCTGCACTCCCTGCCCCCTCTGACGACCCCACCCCCACCCCCTCCCCTTCTGCCCCCGACCAGACGACCCCTCCCGACCCCCAAAAACTCAAAAACACTTTTTTTGTCAATGCCGACGATTTGTAACCGCCAAACCACAAAAATGCTCCGTGCGTGCTTGCCCTGCTCATACCCCCTACTCCTCCCAAGCCCGAAATCCATCACCCAAACCCGTCCCTTGCCCCTGACCCTTACCCCCTACCCCCTCTCCCCCATGACCCTGCAATTCCGCCCCTCTGCCTACCCACCCCTGCCTCCCTGACCCCCCCCCCGACCTGACGACCCCTCCGCGTCCATCACCCAAACCCGAAGTCCATCCCTTGCACCTGACCCTTACTCCCTACACCCCCCTTCTCCACCCCGACCAGCAGGGGACCCGGACCCACCCGACCTGTTGACCTGCATGGTCGAGCAACAGGGGCTGGTAATGGCCCCATGCCTAAAGGAACCCGACCCAGCGAAGGACGTAGAACAGATTCAGGGGGCATGACGGAAGGGGGACGCCAAACAAGATTAGATTGTGTCTGCTGGCGCGTCCTCCCTTACAATAGAAGCAATGTCGGAAGCATCGGAAACATCTGAGATACGAAATGGAATGTGAAAACAACCTTAGTAAACGCATGGGCCGACCCCACACGCGCGCCGACCCCCCGGCTCCACGGGGGTCGGCGGCAGCGGCGTTAGCCCTTAAATCGGGCAGCGCGAGGTCCCCAAGGACCGAGCATTGGCGGACCTTTTAGCCCGGGTCGTCCCGGGAATAGCCTTGCTGGCCTCTGGCCTTCTGCGAAGCAGAATTAGGCCGAACGCCAGTGCCGCCGACCTTTCGCGGCCCGGTCGGTTTTCGTGGGTTGAGGCACGAAAAATGGGACGGGCGCGGATGCCCATGATGCCCCCCAAGGGGCGCGCATCATGAGCATCAGCGGGTTCAGCCCGGGACCCCCAGGCGCGCATCAGGGGACCCCGGGGGCGCATCAGGAGCATGATGCCCCCCAAAGGGCGGGCATAGGACCCTAAACCGTAAACCCTTGACGGATCTGCTCGCCCCGCGCTTCTGCCTGCGCTGCCCGCCCATGGGCGCAGCCCCTTAAAATAACCATCATCGGGCACTTGAGGGGCTTACAAGTGGGTGATAGGTACAGCTATAGTTGGTTAACAAGGCCCATGAACCTCCAAGTAAGGAGAGCAGAGTCCCAAAGAGTCTGAGGACCGGGCTCCATCTTTACTGGGACCGCGCAATCTAGGGTCACTTGGTCCAGGTGCTTCAGCCATTCGACCTGTGGCGAACAGAAGGAAGAGGTCCTGCTGCATGGGGTGGGGAGGGTTCTTCTTAGTTATGATCCTTTTGGGGTTCCCTTCTGAAAAAGAGCGGAGTCTTATGTATGTAGGGCACCCTTAACAGGCACCATAATTGTCGAGAGTCTACCCACGTGCAAGCCCGATGTGCTTGGTGGGCCTCCACCTTATCGCCACTTTTGCCGTAGAAGACGTCGGTTTTGTTAATCCTGGACCTTGGGGGGAGGGGGGGTAGGGGGGGGGGGGGGGGGGGGGGGGGGGGGGGCCCAAAATCTTGGTGCCCTTCTGGGGTTCTTGTGGCAACAGGGGGGCTGACATGTAGGACTCCGGGACACCAAAGGTACCCATAACTTGCAGAACTACTCATGCAGCAGCGCTCAGAGTCTCTAAGTCCAACAGCCAAGACCAACCTGAGACTGCCGGGAGGTCTCACGACCCACGTCAAAGCGGCAACGTTCATACTTGCCGTTGGCTAGTCGCACGTGAAGGATCAGCAAGAATCATGAGAGTCATACCTAGCGGTCCACTCCTTGCTATTCCCGCTGCCCACTGTAAAGTGGATCAAGACATGGTGTGACTAAGAGCAGTCTGAGGGGCGCCCCGGTAGTCTCCTTCGGAGCCAGCACTTCAGTCTCATTTTGGGGGGGGGTCCTTCTTGGGGCCGCCATTATAGGGGAATTTTGAATTTGGGGGTCTGTATTGGGTGTCCCTATACCCCGTTTCGCCGTCATGTCGCGGAGCGCCTGCGCTTCTCCGAAGACCTTCTCGCGCTCAGACCGAAGATATTCCTCAGCTGTCTCCTCTCACTTAGGGATTCGATTTCAAAATTCCCCACACACCAAACACAAAGTGAAAGGTGGCACATTGCCGAACGATCCTGCTCAGCTAGGTGGCTGCATGGGAGTGCATGGACCCCCACCAGCAGGGCTCTCCAGTTGCATGATGGCGGATGACGGGATACTGTGGCATCGCCCGCACCTGCATGTTCCGAGCATCATACACTTGCAAAAGCGCACAGGCGCGCCCATCGCTCTCACACCTGCAGGATCTTGCTGCCATCGTAGTCCGACTTCTCCCATCGGAGCTCTGTCTTGAAATCAACCTGAACCAGGCGAAAGCCGAGCCAGGTTTTTTACATGAAGACAGCAC